AACGCGAGAGTAGGATCCTACCTCACCTCAGCGGTTGGCTCAGCCGAACCTAGACAGCAGGAGGATCTTCAAGGCAGCACTCTCCACAGCTTTGCACAGGCTCATGAGTTGAGGCTGGTCAACACTTTCTTGATGAGCTCGCCTGAAGGATACGCGTATGTTAACAACCGCGGAACGAGGCATAGGATTGACTATAGTGTTACCTCCTCGGCCCTACAAGCATGCATCAAAGATTGCCAAGTTGCGACTGAGCTTGATACAGGGCTAGTTTCTAATGGCCACCTCCCCTTGTTTGCCTCAATGGCCTGGAACGTCGAACACAAACCACGTGGAGGAGGGAGATTTCCCCCTTGGGCCCCCACAAAATTGAGTGCGCACAGGCGTGCGAAAAGTTTCGGCAGATATTAGGAGACGTTCCCTTATCACCCTGGGGTTGCGAACTTAATCAGCATTGCCATGACGTCTCGGATTGCATCACGCAGACGGCCCATTCATGCTTTGCTCTCACCAGGCGATTACCCAATAAGGAGTTCCTGTCACCAGATGTCATGGACATGCTACGTTTAAGGAGAGGAGCACAGAGAGCCATCAGAAAATGGTTCATGTCGGCGCCTTGCGCTGATGCTAAGTTATCTGCCCATCTTGTATATCTGTCTCACTTTGCTTCTCGCCTCACCTCAGGCGATCTCTCCAGTATCAACTGTCTAGCCATGCCTGCCATGTTTGTCTCCTTGGATCAGTTGCTTCGCTTTACTGCGTCACTATTTCATCAGAGGCAGCTGCGCAGTGAGGACCTTGCGGTGAGGATCACCCATTTCGTCGCCAACAGCATGGGCGCAGTTAGGGAAAACATTGAGCATGATCATTCCGGGTTTCTCGCTAGCATGGCTGACCAAATCTTACTTTCCGCGGATGCCCACATGCCCAGGAATGAGTGGTTTCATATTAACAGACTCCTGGCCATTGGGGGCACATCCAGGGGCCCTTCCTTCTCCTCCAACGCTATCCCTGTCATGACTGACGAGGGGGGGTTCAGATCCCACTGAGCGTCCAGACGGCTCGGGTGGTCCTAAGATTCTCAGCTCACTCGAACAGGTTGCTCAGAACATGCAGAGGCACTTCTGCAAGGTCGAAAAGGGTCTCGACGCGTGCATATCAGGCATGTTGCAAACCTACAATCAGCTGCCTGACCTCCTCAGCAGCGTTGATCAACACTTACTCAAATATGTTCCCACACCTCTCGGCTTGCGGCGCCCCATGCGTGCCTTCGGAAGGGCAAGGCCCCAGGCATTGATGGCATTCCCAGCTGTGCGTTCAAGATTGCCCCCCATGCAGCGGTCTAGGTTATTGGGGCCATTACTGGTTAAAATCACGCTTGGGGGCAGAGAACCGTGTATCTTTAAGCTTGGGGAGGTGGTTTTCTTCTACAACGGGTCTGGGGCTCCCTCGATTGCCAAAAACCAGCGCAATCTCATACTAGCCAGCACTCCCTGTAAACTTTACCACAAACACCTACGGTCTCTGGCGCACGATTTTGTCGCGTCCGCCATGCTTTGTGAACAATGCGGCGGGGTAGGGGGCAGGGGTGCAGACATGATCACACTTGCAGTTCGCGCGTTCCTTAGGCACTGCATTCGCAGCCGAACCTCGGGGAGTGTTATTTGTCTTGACCTGGTCCAGGCCTTCTATATCACTATTAAGCAGATTGCCTTAAATTGCCTGGGGATGACGATCGGCTATCAGAGGCGCTTGACCAACTTTCGCTCCCCCCGATCGTTGTCCAGGGAGTTAAAGCACAGCTAGCTAGGCAACCCCTCCTGGAAAATCACTTTCCCAGGGATGAGCTCCCAGCCCTCATTCAAGACAAGCAGAGAGGCACCCATTAGAAAGTCAGGGGCGCGAACGGATTTGTTGCACCTTCTCTTGGCTCTCGACCAGGCACTGTTGCAGCAACAAGCATTTTCAACGCGGTGTTTCGGCAGGTGCATTTGGACATTCGGCAAGGCACCCAGGCCATGGGGCGGCCCTGGCAGGAAGCGCGCGACGCTCCGCCACTCAAGCTCGCAACGGACAGGGGTTGGGACACGGCGTTCACGGACCTTTCGTTTGCGAATGATCTCACGGTCTTGCTGCCGCTGGTCAACCCAGCTGCAGCTGTGGAGTCTGATCGCGACCTCGCAGATAATGTCTTTTGTGCTGCCGCCTCCGCTGGTTTCTCTATACATGACGCCCACACCAAAGTGATGATTTCGCTCAATGGCAAGGGACCCCGCGTCGCTCTACGCAATTTACCAGGCAAGGCCATTACTGGCATAACTTCGCAGCGTTGGGGGTTTTCCTTTCCCACCGCACAGATTCACAAAATACCCGGCAGCCAAGTGTCGGCTGATGGGTCCCTGGGTCCTGACATGCAGGCTCGCGCCGCCAAAACCCACCTGGCACTTCGGCCCGTCCGTCACACTGTTCCCCCCCGCGCTACTTCCTCATCCGTTCTGTTTTTTGGGGCCCCCGTCTGGGCGCGACTTACTGCTGCACAGTTCAGGAAGATTCAAGCGACTCACCTTGCTGTTTACCGTGTGGCCTCAGGATTGCCCTCCTCTAACAATGCCGATAACCATCTCATTAATGCCAGAGTGCTTTTGGATACCAACCGTCTTCCCACTAAGGTCGTCCTTTCGGTTGGGCGCTTGCGCCTTCTGGGCAGAGTCTCGAGGCAGGCACCTCCAGTACTCAGGACGCCCCTGGACCTAAATTGGGATGACCCTTGAGGATGGCACACATGAGTTCGTGCTGACATGGAGTGGCTACATTTCTTTGTCCCAGAATGGCCAGACCCTAGGGAGGGGGACGAAGCTTGGATAACATTGGTCAGGAACGGCGCCAGAGGGTTCAAGCGCTCACTCAGCAGGGCCATTGACAAGGCCAGGGGGTTTCATAGGGACCAAGCGCATCTTGAGGTTTGGCGCCACAGGCTCCTGCAGGCTGAGCTGGCCCCTCAGGGCACCGCAGGCCCCCCCCCCCCTCCCTCGGAAGGATATAGTTGTCACGAGTGTGGACATGTTGCTTGCAGCGCGCAGCAGTTGAGCGCTCATGTGGGCAAGGTGCACAAATCATCTCTTTCACCCAACAACATTGCCACATGCACGCTTTGCCAGGCTTGCTTACGTGATTTTCGACATGTCACACGCCTGGTTAAACATCTTGCGAACGCTCCTGCTTGCAAAATTGCATGGCGCTCGTCAGGACACCTACCATCCTCAGAAGAACTGTTGCAGGCACGCCAGGAAGCCAAGGTTGAAGCAGCTCTCAATAGGAAACAAGGGAGGTAGGATTGTTTCGCTGCGCTCCCTTGGCTTCAATGTCAAGGGCCACCGATTGCCCCCAGACGCCCTGTCACCAGAAGGCAGCAAGTTTCCTCCCCCCCTGCTGCCCCCCCTTGCGTCGAGCAGCCTAGGGTTGAGGCCCCTCGGAGACCCCCCGTTCGGCCCCTCAAAGTTGTCTTACACCTATTCGGAGGCTCTCGTTTCCAGGGGGGACTTACAGGACCACTTCGACAGGATGTTGGCGCTCTTTCCCACGAGGTGTGTCGGGCTGAGCATTGGGGGAGAGCACCCCTCGCCACTGGCGAATTTCGAGGACGACTCATCTAGTTATGTCTGGCTAGATCTAATCAGAGCAGGCAGGGTGGCTGGAGTTGTTGCGAACCCCCCCTCTCCAGGACCTGGCTCTCTGGTGGCCAGATGCTTCATCCGAGGGAAGGGGTCCCTTGCCCCCTTCGGGACCCCTGCCACCCGTGGGGGTTGGGGGCCCTGAGCAGTGCCCAGAGCGAGCAGGTCCACAACGACAACAGACTGCTGCGCTTTTCCGTTCTTCTGCTTTACGAGGCATACAAATATAACATTCCTGCCATCCTCATTAATCCGACCCAAGAGGAAGGAGGCGCCAGCTCACCAAGCGTCTGGACCCTGTCTGAGGTCATCTTGCTCGAAAAAATGGATGGGGTCCCGAAGCACACCTTACATCAATGCGTGTTTGGTGCTAGAGCCCGCAGGCCCACAGCGTTGCTGACAATCCGGATGCCAGCTTTGGACGCGAGGCTACTGGACGTGCAAGGAGGGCTACGTTGCAACCATGATTGGCACAATGATTTTAGCACTGACGACCTACCATTTCGGTGGAAAAGGGATGACGTGGCTCTCAGGCTGCCCACACAGTTGCTTAGGATTTTGGCCGCCGCCCTTCCCCAACATATTCGCGAGGGCTCCCCAGAGGCCCATCAAGAGCTCCGTAGTGGCTTCCCTTGGGGGTCTGCTCCTGGCTCCCTGGGGGCCTGCAGCCTGTCTTGGGACCTACGCAGGGAGGCAAGGCTACGTAGGAGGATTGACCTAGGTGTTGGAGTTGAATGGGAGCTCCCTCATGGTCTTCGCAGGTTCTTTGTCCCCATGGACCCCTACCTGGAGCCAACACGCACTGACTGCTTCACCCATCCTCGCAGGCGCCCTCCTAGCACCAACCCGTGGGATTTATGAATCCAAGGCTGGGCTCCCTTCTTCTCCCTCCCTGGACTGCAGCTCGCGCTTGGGAAGGACCCACACGCGAAGGTTTGCCCCAGCCTCGCTGGCTGGCGCTCGTGTTACGCTCACGTTAAAAAGTAGTAACGTGTGGGTGCTGTACCTCGGGGTGCAGCGCGCCACTGGCAGTACCGTTGCCTCCTGTGTGAAGGCTCTTATTTTCCTAATTTTCTTGCCTGTCCTGTTTCTTGTTTCGCGCGCCCTCGGCAGTAGCACAGGAGGCGCATGTGTCTCCGCATTTCACCCTCTCACGTGATTTGCTCTGTCTTCCATTTTCTTTGCTTGCTCTCTCTTCCTGCTCTGCATAGGCTTCGAACCGTCCGCCTCATCGATGAATGAATGAATGAATGAATGAATGAATGAATGAATGAATGAATGAATGAATGAGGAGGAGGAGGAGGAGGGGGAGAATGCCAGGGGGTGAGCTTCCTTGCCCTCCTCCAGGACGGCCAGGATCTTGTCGAGCACGTCGCTCTCCTCCTGGGCCCCCTTCACCTGCTTGTGGGCTGCGGGGTCCCGCCGCGGCCGCGGCGCACCGTCAGCCCGCCCCCGCCCCGTCCCCTCCGGGAGTGAGGAGGGCAGGGAGGCAGTGGGAGAAGGGGGGGGAGAAGGGGAAGCAGCGGGCAAGGGATGCTAAGAGGGGGGCGAGGGATGCTGAAAAGGAGGAGGGGGGGGGCGTGGGGAGGAGGGATCGATGGCTGGCTGGGGGCGCGCAGCACTCCCAGGCGCCGCTGGCTGACCCAAGGCGCGCCGACGAGCAGGGCCATGAGCAGGGCGATGAGACGGGGCAGGCGGGACGGGAGAAGGGGGCGATGTGGACTCGAGGGGGAGGATGCGGCAGGAAGAGAGTGGAGTAGAATTGAAAGCTCGCGGAATCCTGTCTGTGCGACCTGCTTTGCTACGCTACTGCACCTTCCCATCGTGCACAAGAAGAAACGCATTTGGACTCTGAAGTGGGCCACTACGAGCCTCACATGATACTATAGAAGGCGGGACCTTCGGCCTCCCAAGCAAGGGCGCTGGCGATGAAAGCAGCATGAGCATGACAAAGATCATGATGATAATGCTGCGTTGACAAGGGCCCAAGCCGACGACGGCGAAGACTAGGAAGATGCCGGCCGTGCTCTGGACTCCCTTTGTGCCACCCTTCGTCGTATCGAAGATCTCTTATTAGGGGTGCCGCAGCTGATGGGCCTCACCCGGCGGGGTAAGAAACACGGCCGCCAGCAGTTGCTGGTATGATAGGGGTATTAAGAACAAGGGAAGGGGAGGGAGGAGGGAGGGAGGAAGGGGTCAAAATGACGAGGAGCAGGAGGAAGATGCGGAAGGAAATGCTTCGATAGGTATCCCGAAGTTCCCCATGAGCTCTGGAGGTCCCCAGTAGTCTCTGGAGGTCCCTTGAGTCTGGGGGTCCCCGTATGGGCTCTGGAGGTCTCCAGAGCATCTCGAGAAGCGGGCGCAGTGCGGGGCGCGCCTTGCCCCGAACGTCCTTGATCAGCTTCTGCTTCCTGTTCTCGAGCTGGGTGATGTCCGCGATGATCAGCTCCTCCCTCTCCTTCCGCCTCCTCCTCCTTTTCCCTGTTCCCTTTTCCTCCTCCTCCCTCTTCATTCTGCTTCTTCTCATCCTCCCTCTTCCCCCTGATCCTTCTGTTTCATCTCCCTCCTCCTCCTGTCCCACCAATTCCTTCTCGTCCCTTGTTCCCCTCCTCCTCCTCCTCCTCCTCCTCCTCCTCCTCTTCCTCCTCCTCCTCATCATCACCACTACCACCACCACCACCACCACCACCACCATCGTGGTCATCATCATCATCATCATCATCATCATCATCATTATCATCATCATCACCATCATCATCATCATCATCGTTCATCATCATCAACAGCATCATCATCATCATCATCAGCATCATCATCATCACCATCATCATCATCATCATCATCATCATCATCAACATCTTCATCATCGTCATCACCATCATCATCATCATCATCATCATCATCATCATCATCATCATCATCATCATCCGCTTCCTCCTGCTCCTCCTTCTCCTGATCCTCCTCATCCCCATCCCCCTCCTCCTCCTCCTCCTCCTCCTCCTCCTCCTTCCAGGCAGCTCCAAGTTGATCGTCTCGATGTCGCGGGCGGGGTCGACGGAGCCTGGCGGCGAGGAAAGAAACGGGAGGACGGCGCCGACGGGGTCAGGACGCCATCGCCGTCCCAAGGCCGATTGGCCAAAGGGGAGGGGGCGCCGAAGGAGCGCAGAAGGTTGCGGGAGCGACTGGCGCCGCGAGTCTCTCGGAGAGCGGGGGTGGTTACGAGTCAACGGCAGCCACGTAGACAAGAGCAGAAGGGGATGATGATGATGATGATGATGATGATGATGATGATGATGATGATGATGATGATAATGATAATGATAATGATGATGATGATGATGATGATGATGATGATGATGATGATGATGCTCATGCTCATGCTGATGACAGTGCTGATGATGATGGTGACGATGCTGCTGCTGATGATGATGGTGGTGGTGATGATGCTCATCATGATGCTGATGATGCTGCTGATGTTGATGAGGGTGGTGCTGCTGATGATGACGATGGTGGTGATGCTGGATGATGATGATGATGCTGCTGATGATGATGACGATGATGGTGATGGCGGTGGTGATGCTGACAATGATGATGAAGACGGTGATGCTGCTGCTGGTGTTGTTGATGTTGGCCATGGTAGTGTCGGCACTGGTGGCGGTGATGATGACGGTGATGACGGCGATGATGGTGATCATGACCTGTTCCTCGGAAGATCTCGGGTGTCGAGCCGTGCCTGACAAAATTCTGTGGGGGGCTCCTACCAACCAATCGTCCAGAATTGTTGCCAGGCTTTCGAAACGGAGCGGTAGCGATGAGATCGGGCCCTCAGCCCTGCTTCGGAGGCCTGCTCAAGCGTCCCAGGAAGACGTTTTTTTAATGGCCGTGCGAGTGGACGAGTGCATCGCGCAGGCATGCACACACACACACACACCAGACAGCGAATAGACCACACATGAGGAACGAGGAGGAGAAAATCGAGCCAGGGGCGCTCAAGGGTCACCTCAAAGAATCCTCTTCCTATCCATCGGAAGCGCAGATCACAACGGTGAGGACAATCACCATACTGACGCATACAGTCGAAATTCATCGGCCCCCCTGCAGCCGTGAAGAGTGGGGGACAACCAGAACAGCACGTTCTAGCTGAGAAATCGCGAAATCGAACAGTGGAACAAACTTCTCGGCAGCTGGATCGAAGGACGCTGACACCCATGTATGGACCAGAGAGCTTCGTGACATATCGAACTTGCTTGATCAATTGGTCGAGCTGGGCGCGGCTCACAATCGGGACCCATGTCTGCAGCCTCTTGAGGACGCCATCATTCCGAAGGGTATCAAGCGGGCGTTTCCTGTGTATTGCAACATGAAGTTTAGCGTAACACGCCTGGCCATGGTCATGATCGATAGAGCAGCCGACAGTGTAACAAACGTGATGCCAACATTAAAAGTCAGGAGCGAATGCTGATATCATCTCTGCCGATGTCCACTGCTACATCTGGCAATGCAGCGACCATCAGACTCAATAACCTCATCTATATCGTGTCGAGCTTGTTCAACAGCAGGACAACAAGCCGCAGCGCGAACTGTCGACACTGTCGACGCGGCAGACTGCCAGGGCAATTCTGCCGCCTAGGTACTCAGACCCAACAATTTGCAACGAGCAGTCGTAATGCATGAGAATGAGTGGCGCGGAACAGCCATCAAGAGCTGAAGCGTCTGTTTGCATTGCCCTAAGACAAGATATGGTACATTATGCAGTCGCAGCACGGGTCGAAAGACCGAAACGCTTACAGCGATGACCGACGAAAGAGTCACAGCTTGCCCAAGACTCATCTGGCAATGAGAATGCGCGTGACCGGACTTTCTGAAGGGGATCACGCCACCCAATGCGGCAACCTCGGGGCCTAATGCCGAGGTATTTCAAATTACGAGACACTGATGCTGAGTAGTTTGACATCTCGGTTCCGATCGACCAGGACATGGAATTTCTTAGAATACAAGAAGAGACCAAAGGCCAGCCCAATCAGGATCAACGTGGCTCAGATCCGAGAGACCGCTAGTAGAACGTCGCGCATGGCCAAGAGGCGGTCGCCACCATGTGCAAGGGAACGCTGAAGGCGACAGCCAATTCGAGATCGTATCCATCGAGGGAGAGGATGAATTCTGTGGCAGAATAAACATGTGCTACTGGGGTCCCCTGGTCAAACTTCACGTCGAATCGCAAACCGCCCGATTGTACGCCCTCCCAGCGCAACGATACCCCAAGTACCTTTGTAAAGAAGACGGTCAGAAATAAACGCAAATCTCGGTGCACCAATCCCCCTCACAACTTAAACCATGAAGGGGATCAAGAGAAACGGAAAGGCAAATCTGAGGCCGGTCAGGAGCACCCCAGAACGGTCGCGGCCCAGGAGATATCATCATTGGATGTCCCAAGTCTCGGCAGGCACATCAATGCCAATAATCTACGTCCCAGAAATACACGATTGCAACTGCTCAGATGTACTCCGATAAATCCGAGAGAGAGAGAGGCAGACAAAAGACGCCGGGCAGCAATTGCACGCCGGGGTTGCCCATGGAAAGAGAGAGGGCGCGTTTCAGCGCAGCTGCGAATAAGCATCGGGCCTTCGTCATCATGCTGCGTACGTTTCGGCAGGAAATCAGTGATCGCGCTCGCGCGCATCCCCTGGCAGACCGCAGACAAGATCTGAGGATTATCTCCGATAAGCTTGCACTGGCATGCGGAGTCCGTCCTCCCCAGGCACGGAGCGAGTCCTTGTTTTTATCGCCCAAGAGAAGTCGTCGAAGTGGACCTTCCAGAACCCATCCGAAATATCAGGGGCCTGCCGAGCACGTCCAAATGCTCGCCCCAAAGAGGAGAGACAACCGCCAAGTCGCCGAGAACCGAGCCTTCTGGCTTTCCAGCGCGGGCGCCGATGCCTCGAATGAGGGGCCGGAACGGCCGTCTTGGCCCAGAGCGCCCGGAAGCCAGGTGCGCCTCCGAAGGCGTCTCCAGATCCCCTACTTCCTCCGAATCTTACCACGGGCATCTTTACGAAAGCCTTCATCACGAATGGCGCGCTCAATCAGGGATTCCTCAATCCTAACATCTGCGACTGCAGTGTTTGTATACGTGTGCAAAGAATCTCAGGATGGCCCAGTTGAAAAGTAAGCATATTGAGGTACGTGCATCAGTGCATCAGTGTAGGTACGAATAATCATATGGTGCCTCGCGGGCCCCCAACCGCGCGGAGCACGCATAGTCTGGCGAAGCTTCTCCAACAACGTTTCCGAGGGCGTGCGTGAGGTGGTGTTCCTTCGCTTTCTTGCAGACGTCGTGCACCATCTTCTTCCTGAGAGTCTCCATGGGGCCATCCACGTGGATTGTCTTCAACAGATGGGGCGAGATCTTGCGAAAGCAACTGCTGGTACACGCGATAACGACCAATCCAAAGAGGCACGCAGGGTTGGGCAGTGGCGGCAGGGGCGCATCTCTCAATCAACACGAGCACGGGGGTGCAGTCCGAACACTGGTAGTTCTGTAGGCGCCCCATCGTGGACTCGCGGATAGCAAGATCAGCAGGCAACGAAGAAGGAATATCAGAGTAGATGCGGTCGAACACCAAGGTCTGAGAAAAAAATGCATCGCGAATTTCACAGCGGGTATTCGGTTCATGGTAAAATTCACACCAGCGGCCACAGGGAGCCTAGACCATATTCAAATGGGACATATCGCCACAGCGAAACCCATTACCATATGGCATAAGTCTATCTCTTTCGTCCAGAACACAGTTCCAGCCGCCCAGTATTATATAAAAGCTCGAAGTGGCCCCAAGACGAGCATTACGATTCGGAGCGAGGTAAGTGCAAGCCTGGATGGGGTCGCACGCGTTTGGGAGGCATGCGTTCGTCATCGTAAACATGCCGTGCTTGCCTGTGCAAAAAAGGATAAGAACCCTGCCAGTGATCAATGGAACATGCTCTAAAGACTCGAAAAGCGCTGCGAAGGACGACAAGATGGACGCGACTACTCCACCAGCGCGTGAAACATCATCAATAATGAGCGACCAATACTCAACAACGGAGGTCGTGCTGGCAGTTAGAAACAGATGCTAGCTGACCGTGTGTTGCTTTGGCGCAAGCCACTCACTGAATACCTGCGGCGGAACGAGACTGTCGTAGCCCATCGGTTCGAAGCCGTAGTCCATGAACTGCCCAAGAGATAAGAGACAAAGCAGGTGGAGGAGAGAAAACCGTATTGTTGGACCCCGAGCCCACACCAATACCCCGCGGAGAAAGGTCGCCTCGGCCTCCAGAGGCGCTAGCTAAACAATACTGAACATTTGAATCACTGGCGGCCAGCCCAAGCAGGCTCGAAGCAGTCCCTGGACTACGTTCTCACAGACCTCCGACGGCGCGTTGGCAGTGGTAGTCGCCGTCGCAATCGCCTGTAGCACGGCATCGTCGCTGAAGCGCCAAATGCGGAAATTTGTCAGGTACTTGCCCATCAGCCCGTGGGCGCGCCGATCGTCTGCCATGTCAGGACAGGCAGGCGCTGGAGCAGCACCGACGTCGACCGCCTGCTTGGCCTTGGCCACGGCCTCCTTGAGTTCGAGCTAAAGCTGCACCACCTTCTGCTTCTGCTCGTAGGCGGCCTCGAGCGCCTTGGTCGCAGTCAGCTGCGTCTTGTCGTAGTCCATTTTGGCCTTCTCAAGGCGACGCCCATCCTCGTCGGCTGCCACCTGCGCCGTCTTGGCCTGCTTGGTCTCCGACAGCGTGCCGAGCTGCTGCTGCACGAGGAAGCGCGCCTGCCGCCGACTCTGCCTGTCGCTGTCTCGAAGTCACGGTCGGAGAAGTCCATGAATCGGACACGGGCCTCCTCCGAGAGGTTGGGCGGCTGCGCGCGCCTGGGCTGCTGCACTGCGCCGGAGCCGCCGCCTCGCTCGCCACCCGTGGCCACTGCCGTGAGCCCATGGCGGACCGTTGGCCCAGGCGCCACCGGCACGATCGCGCCACGACCAGGAGCAGGGCCCCACTCCGACGGATGGTAGCCATGGCACCCAACCTGTCGACACTACGTGCGCCAGCCGAGGTTCTTGTAGCCACAATGCGAGCAGCGCCATCCAGAGCCCGTCGTAGACGCGCCGCTGCCGCTGCCAGGAGCACCACCGCGGCCGCCACCACGCGGAGGAGGAGCCATGCTGGCCGCACAGAGGCGGCTGCGGCCAAGCACGCTGGTGCTTAGCTCCAGGCCTGGGGCGGACCAAGCCGAAGCACTGAAAACTGCCGCGGTCTAGCGGTATCCACTTGTTCCGCTGGGGAACTCATCGCCTTGAGCCAAAATTGCTACGGAAAAGAGGGGGGAGGAGGAAGAAGAGAGGGGAGGGACGCAAGGAGGAGGAAGAGGACGAGGAGGAGGAGGCGGACGACAACGATGGGAAGGAGAGGAAAACGGCGGGGAAAGAACGGGATACTGAAATCGAAAAGAGGCACGACGGCGAAGATGAAAAGGTAAACGAGGAAAACGGGGAGGACGGCCTCCAACCGGAGGCTGCTGAACACGTGACGGAATCAAGCCGACACATGCAACAACTTCATAGTCTTGGAGAAGAAGGTCACGAAGTTCTTGCATGCTTACCAAGAAGGAACATCAACATAAGTTCACAACAATACTCCTTCCCCTCCTCCCAATGTCTGCGCCGTAGTAAGTTCTTCTCCTCCTGTTATGCCGAAGGTGCCTTGCGCATCGAGGAACCAAGGCGGTCAATACAAAAAGTCCTCATCCTCCCCTTCCTCCTCCTCCTCCTTTTCCTACTACTCCTACTGCACAACATCAACCAAGGACCAGCAGGTCACTTAAGGTCCACATAGTGGCTATGCGTGGACAAGGCTCGTGCTATGATGTGTTCGTCTAGGGTTTGTGCTATGATGTGTTCGTCCAGAACTACAGCAATCGCAGATGGATGGGCCAGCGACGGATAAGGGGAAGATGATGAGGAACATCGCACATAGTTTGTGTGGTTTGGGGGAAAGGGGCGAAGCCTACCTGGAACCCACCGCCCTTCCCGTCTGAGCTTTGTTACAGGCCTCGACTACCAGCGCGCCCAGCCCATGTTCAGCTCGAGTAACCCAACGGCGCTCAGAAACGACCTGCACTTGACAATCGGATCCAGCGACGCAGGGCGAGTATCCGGATGCCGGGCTTTCACTCCCACGGCGCCCCAGGAGAGGTGGAGGGAAAAGGAAGGGCAGCACAAAGATGTTGCAAGATGGACTCGCTGTTCATGCAGAAACGTGTGCGGCATTTGAACTCTTGTGCGACTGTTTACCACTCTCTGACACTCCATCGCAGAGACACGACGGTTTTCCCATCGCCAGACCGTCGACGTGAGTAATGTCGGGGTCCTCAAAGCAGCGGACCATATGCACGATGGCGTTCGTCTCGCGGATGTTGGCAAGGAACTTGTTGCCCAGGCCCTCGCCCTTGGACGCTCCCTTCGGATGGGATGGGGGAGAGAGAAGGATGCTGCTGATGATGAGCAAAAAGCGGAAAGGGGCGAACGAGGGATACCGAAACAGGAACGTCATTGAAGAGGTGAGGGTTCCGAAAATCTGTACTGGAAATGTAAATGGAGACTTGCTGGTAGAACCGCGAACTCTCGTGAGCCGACAGACCCTTCCCCCCAGGCAGCAACACAACGTGCCGCCTCTTTCCCCCCTCCCCCTTCCCTGCCCTGCTCCTCCATTTTTTCCTCCTCCTCGTCCTCCTGCTCCTGCTCCTGCTCCTGCTCATGCTCCTGCTCCTGCTCCTGCTGCTCCTCCTCCTCCTCCTCCTCCTCCTCCTCCTTCTCCTCCTCCTCCCCCCTCTCATCATATCCTCATCCCTCCCCTACTCCTCTCTCTCCTCCTCCTCCCCCTGCTCAGCCCCCCTCTCCTCCTCCTCCTCCTCCTCCGCCTCCTCCTCCTCCTCCTCTTTCTCCACCTCCTCCTCCTCATCCTCCTTATCCTCCTCCTCGTCTTCCTCCCTCACCTCCTCTTCCTCTTCCTCCTCGTCCTCCTTCTCCTCCTCCTGCCCCCTTTATTCTCAATCTCCTCCACTGTGCGCATTGTTATGGGGTGCCAATCTGGGTTTGCTATCACTTGACTGCTGTAACTGCTGCCAACTTCTGTCTCCGCCCATGTTTTCACGTAGCGCGAGCCCCGCTGATTTCAGCAAGTACATCCCGCACTGGGAATCCGAGGTAATCCTTCCACTCCTGCTTCACCTCTTCTTCCTCCTCCCCTCCCTCCCTCCATCCCTTCTCATTCTCCTTCTCCTCCTGCCTCCCCCTCGTTCTCCTCCTCCTCCTCATCCTCCTCAGTCTTCGCCTCCTCATTCCTCCTCGTCCTCCCCCTCCTCATCCTGAGAGACATGCGACCTTCTAGCGCTGGCACTGCCGAAAGGAAGCGGGCCGTGCCTTGACCAGGCCTGCGATGTCTACGTACTCGATCAGCTCCGGGATGGTCTGGGCGGTAGGAGGGGATGGAAAGGCAGGGGAGGTTGCAGAGGCCGCGGGGGCGCGGGGGCTTGGGCTCGGCGGGGGCCAACGAAGGGGACGGCTGGATCGGGTGTCTCCCGGCCTGTCACCTCGAGCGGCCTGCTCCTGGGTGACCCGTTCGACTGCTGTCCTGCCACCTTGCCCCTCGGGTCGCATCGCGAGCGAAAAACCATGTCCGCATCCAAGGGCCTCGTGGGCCCTGGCCCCTTGTTGGAGGCCTGGAGATGGGCACCAACACCAACACCGAGATCGGGATCTTCTTTCCTCGGCGGAAGCACACCGCCGATACTGGTGTTGGTGCCAACTTCTACAGACGAGCGCGTTCCGCTGCTCGCAGAGTAACTGCTCGCACATGGGCTGGATCCCCCGCGGAGGATCTGCGATACACTACATCCAAGCGGACATGTGTGTTCTTTCGGACGTTTGCAAAGCAGGCACCCTGCGAGCAGTGGAGCGCGCTCGGTGATGCCAGACCGGCGACCTTTGACCCCGCGGACGCGGGGTGCCTCTTTCGCGGGTGCCCCGCGCGGACCGCAGCCGTGCAGCCGCGGATCCGCGGGCTCGCGCCCCCGGCTCGGGGCCGCGCGGGCGCGGCCGCTCGCCCTGGCACCGCGGCCGCGGCGGCCCGCAGGTGGTGCCGCCGCGAGCGCGAGGCGCAGGCGGGGAGCGCCCGTGTCTGGCGCGCGACGACGGCCGGTGGACTTCGCCAGGCGCGCGGGCGGCTGCTCGGAGAGGCTCCGCTCCAGGGCTCGCACGGCGCCTCTCTGCCTGGCGGGGGCTGGCTTTCGGGCGCCCTGGTCGTGCAGGTGGGGCAAGAAGGGGCCAGAGGGCAAGGGCGGGAAAGGCGTCGGGAAGGGCGTCGGGAACGTTGTGGGGTGCCTATATCGGGCCCAGCACGCTCGCTGCGGCTTGGTGGTGAGTTCCTTTTGTGGGAACCACCCACCGCGTTCGGGGCGCCGCTTCTCCGTGTCGACGCAAAGGTGTCCTGAGGCCCCCCTCCAACAGTCTTGGACACAAGCAGGGTTCCTGGCGTTGGCGGGGAGTTCGTGGAAATGAAAAGCTCAGCGAGCACATCCAGCATGATGAGTGTAGGTGGGCCCCCCCGCGCGTCCAAAGGGGAACATGAGACACCGTCTGCCCATGCATAGTATTCAAAACGTCGCTCATCTGCCTGGCGGCACTGGTCTCCGGAGCCCAGGGTGAAAATTTTGGGCTGACCCCCCGCGGAAATCCCCCTTTGACAAAAGGTTTCATGGTTTGTCTCTTGCGGGGAATCGCCGGTCAAAGAGGCCCGTACCATTGAACCGCATGCTCGTCTTGCCCGTCTGAAGAGAGGCCAAGACGGCCCAAGAGGCACCCAAGAGGCCTCCAAGACGGCCCCCAAACAAGAGTGGCCGAAGATGTGGAGCCCGTTACGGTATTCCGAACTCTTCCTCCCAGGATTCCCAGGATGGCCCCCGGGGAGCGCCAGCATGTCCCCAAGAGGCTCGAGGCCTCTCAGAGGCCACCAACAGGCCCCAAGAAGCCTCCATGAGGCCTCCAGGAGGCTTCCAATAGGCCTTTTGTCCACGACTCAGACGAGGTGGCGGGATGGGCCGAAGGCCAGTAGATCCGCCGCCCCTTTTTGCTTGCAAGAGGTGTGCGTGGTGTGCCCAATGCTTAATTCATTTCTCTCCTTGAAACAAGCCTCGCACTCAGGGGATCTTACGTGCATTCTCAAAACTAAGCGAGCCCCAGTGGCGGTCCAGCCAGCCCGTCGCCGCTGGGCCCCAGTGGCTCTCCGTCGCCGCCCGTCGCCGCCTTCCGTCGCCACCACTTGCATTCGTCCAGTGCCGGTCGTGTCGGTTCGTCGCCGCCCGTCGCCGCCCGTCGCCGCCGCCCGTCGCCGCGGCTTGCGCTCGGCCACTCGCACTCGCCCACTCGCGTCATAGAACAAAGCATAGCATAGCACAGAATACCGCAGCATCGCATCGCAGAGCTTAGCATATATTAGCACAGCAGAGAAGGGTATGGCATAGCACAGCCTGCTGTAACCATTGCGATGCGACGTAAGACTGCATCGCATCGATTGCATTGCGGAGATAGGCCCGCATTGATTGGCTCTTCATGTATTGTACTGCGTAGATTGCACTGCGTAGGCTGCATTGTACATATCACATCGCAGAGTATGCCAGAACGCACTGTTTGGAGTACACGCTGGCCAACCTCCAAAAGGTTTCAATACTCTCAGGCCCACTCCGCCGAAAAAAACAGACAGTCGGACAACTTGCTTCCAAGATGGCCAGGATGACCCCCAGGACGGGCACAAGGTTTTCACGATGGCCCCACGAGAATCACAGATGGCCCCAAAGTGCCTCTAAGACTACTCGAGATGGACCCAAGACGGCAGAAGATGGTCTCCAGACGGCCGGGGAGACCACTGAAACGCTTCAAGTTGCTCCACGAAGACCTACACGACTCCAGCAGGCCCCCATGAGGCCAACAATCCCTGATTCGCCCCCAAGATCGCCTCAAGACGGCTCCAGAAGCTCCGACGACAGCTCAAAGAGGGCTCCAAGAGGACCTCCAGGGAGCTCCCAGGAGGTAATAATCATTGCTTACCACGGGCTTTTGAATTAGTTGCGCATCCTCACCTTTTCGGGCTTCCGACAGCCCAAGACGGCCCAAGAGGCCCCAAAGACGACCCAAGAAAACCCCATGACGGCCCCAGAGCTCTCCCAAGAAGACCCCAAGGCGGCCCAGTGAGAGAGCATCGTTCTCACTGATGGATGCGGCCGCCGCTGCTGCGATAGAGCCGCGGCCGCCGTCCTCACTCAAAGATGTGGCCGGCGATGCGGCAAGAGCACCGTGCTCACTCTGCCGGCCGGCCTATCGGAAGCATCTGTCACACGCGGAGAGAGGCGGGGCATGGAACGAGCGGAGCTGGAGGGCGCTGAAGATTGTGGACGGCGGTGGCGCTGGCTCTCAAACCGAAGATCCGTGCCGAATTGGACATGAACCCGGCGATGAATCTCGACTCGTCGCCGCGGCTGCATTCGCCTCAACATCCCGATGTGGACGTGCTCCAGGACAGATTCAGGGGTTCATTTTGACATGGGACAGGACCAGCACGGCTGGGGATGGAGGGTGGTGGAGGATGACGGACCATCCCGCGGGCCAGCCCAGTTCGAGAAACGCAACGGTGAATTGGGTCGAGAGCTCCACTCGTGATCACCTAAGCAGCTTGTCTGCAAGGGTTCTATATTTCCCAGACAGAGCTTGCACTTAGGGCTTCGGACTTCTCTCATCAAGGACTGGGATTGTGCGTTGGTCTGGCCGGATGATGGTGGCGCGTCGCCGCACGTCGCCGCCCTACGTCTGGGCCAATGCGCCCGTCCGGCTAGCTTATGGCGCCCGTCGCCGCCCGTCGCCGCCGCATTTTGGTCGCAAGTTTGACTGTGCGAACCTGGTAGATTGGGGCACATCGATTGCACCACATTTCTTGCGCCATAAATGCACCACATGGATTGCCCCACGTAGTTTGCACCGCATGTCTTGCTTAACAATCATGGCACCACATAGTTCACACCGCGCATATTGCACCACGCAGCCTGCATCACCACCTTCCCCCGCTCCCCCAGACTTATCCGTTGTGGGTTCCGCTCGTGAATGCATTTATGATCCTGAACCCTCGTCCACCCTGGATATGAACTCATAAAATCCCAGCCAGGCCGGTATCGACCCCCCCCGCCATCCTCTACACAAGATATTATGCGTGCGCGGGCTCTCGTTTATGAAGGGTCAACAGTTTTCAAACATCTCATGCAACAAATGGGACGAAGTGCGCACGCGCGCGTCAACGCGCGCGCAGGCCGGAATCCTTGAACAACCTTCTTTGGTTTAGCA